ATCCTTCCTAACCAGGAGCAGGGGATTTCTGCCCATTTTCTCATATCATCTTCAATCTCTTCTTTCAGAAGACTATAGTTTTCAGAGGAGAGGTCTTTGATTTATTTTGGTTAGTTAATTCCTAAGTATTATAATTTTTTTGGATCCTATTGTGAAGGGAATTCTTTGCCCAATTTCTCTCTCAGTGAGTGTGTTGTTCCTGTAGTGGAAACCTATTGATTTTTCTGTGTTGATCTTATATCCAACTACTTTACTGGATTTGGTTATTAAGTCTAGAAGACTTTTGATGGCATTCTTGGGCTCGTCTATGTAGAGTATCATATCATCTGCAAATAATGACAATTTGACTTCTTCATTGCCTATCTTTATTCCTTTTATTTCTTTCTTTCTCTTGTCTAATTGCCATGGCTAATATTTCCAAAGATATATTGAGCAGGAATGTGACAGTGGACATCCTTTTCTTGTTCCTGATATTTAGTGTGATGGACTTCAGTTTTTGACCATTTAGTATTATACTGGCTGGTTTTTTTTTTCATAGATGGCTTTAATCAGATTGAGGTAGAAACCATGTATTCCAATTTTCATAGGGTTTTTATCATAAATGTGTATTTGATTTTGTCAAATGCATTTTCTACATCTATTGAGGTGATTATATGTTTTTGTCCTTGGCTCTTTTTATATAGTGTATTACATGTATTGTTTTGTGTATGTTGAACCATCCCTGCATCCCTGGAATGAATCCCTCTTGCTTAGGGTGTATGATCTCCTTGATGATATTATGGATTCTATTTGCCAGTATCTTACTAAGGCTTTTGCATCTATGTTCATTAGTTAGATTTTCCTATAGTTGTTTTTTTTTTGGTTGGGATTTTCTCTGCTTTGGGGATTGAGGTGATGCTTGATTCCAGTCATGAATATGGGAGTATTGCTTCCCTTTCAATTTCATTGAAGAATTTTAACAGCAGTGACAATAGTTCTGCTTTAAATATCTTGTAGAAGTCAGCAGTGAAGCCATCAGGGAACAGAGCCTTTCTTAGTTGGTGCATTTTTAATTTTGTTTTCAATTTCATTGATTGATATTGATTAATTAAAATTTTTTAGGTCTTGGTTCAAGATTGGTAATTCATATGTATCTAGGAATCGGTCCAATTCTTCTGTTTTTTTCCATCTTATTGGCATATAGGTTCTTGAAGTAGTTATTGGTGATCCTCTGAATTTGTGCTGAGTCCATTGCAATTTCATCCTTTTCAATCCTAATTGCATGGATTTGGTCCATTTCTTTCCTTTTTCTGATAAGGTTGGCAAAAGCTTTTTTGATTTTGTTTATTCTTTCAAAGACCCAACACTTCTCTTCATTGAGTATTTGTATCAATCTCTTAGTCTCCATTGCATTGATATCTGTTCTGATCTTTATAATTTCCTCCCTTCTGATAACTTCGGTTTGTCTTCTCTTCTTTTTCTACAAGCTTATGCTTCAGCATCAGGTTTATTTGGCTCACTCTGTTTTCCTAATATGAGTATTCATTGCTCTCTATTTCCCTCATAAAACTACTTTCATTGTGTCTCATAGTTTTTGATATGTTGTATTGTATTGTCATTTAATTGAAGAAACTGTCTGATTTCTTCTTTCATTTCCTCTGTAACCATTGTTTAGTCGGAAGTGTGTTGTTTAATTTCCATGTATGTTCATGAAATTTTTGCAGTTTCTTTTGCTATTGATCTACAATTTGATCACACTATAGTCTGATAATATACAGGGGATAACTGCAATTATATATGTGGTCTAGTGTGGAGAACATCCCATGTGAAGTTCAAAAGAATGTGTATTTTGATTTTATGGGGTGAAGCACTATGTAAACATCTGTTAAAGTCATTTTTTTAAGAATTTGAATTCTCGTACTTTGTTGCTTGTTTTTTTTTTTCTAGTTCATCTATTTGTGACAGTGGAGTATTAAAGTCCCTCACTACTATTGTACTAGTGCTTATTTGATTTTTAATGTCCATTAGAATTTGTTTTATATAGTTGGATGTACTAGTGTTTTGTGCATAGGTATTTATGATTGTCATGTCTTCCTCTTGGACTGTTCCCTTTACAAGATGTAGTGTTCTTCCTTGTCTCTCTTAATCAGTGTTGGTTTGAAATCCACTTGATATGCAAAGAGAGTAGCTACACCTGCTTTTTTCATGTTCCTGTCACATTGACTATTGTTTTCCACCCTTTAACTTTCAGTCTGTGAATTTCTTTTGGAATTAAGTGTTTCTTGTATTCATCATATTGTAGATCTGGTTTCTTGACCCTTCCTACCAGTCTATTTCTTTTGATTGTTGAGTTGAGACCATTAACATAGATAGTTATAACTGCTATATATTGAATTGTCATCATCATGACTTTTTCTTTTTGTTGGATTCTGCCCATTTATGCTGTATTTTCTGTCATGCCAAATGGATTCATTTTGCTGGGCTTCCTGGCGTTTTGGTCCTCATTGTCTTTTCCTAGGATATTGTCTAACATTTTTTGTACTGTGGGTTTGGTAAACATGAAGTTCCTAAGGTACTCTTTGTCATAAAAGTATCTTATTTCTCCATTAATTTTGAAAGATTGTTTTGCAGGGTACTTCAATATGAGTTGGAGACTCTTTTCCTTCAGGGTTGGGAATACATTACTCTAAGCTCTTCTTGCACTGATGGTTTGCCTTGAGAAGTGTGCTGTGATTCTGATGTTCTTTTCTTTGTACATGATTTGTTTCTTTTCTCTGACTACTTTTAAAACTTTGTTCTTCTGTTGGGTTTCTGGAATCTTAACAATTATATGCCTATGTGTAGATTTTTTGGAACAATTCTAGTTCCATTCCTATATCCCTCACTTATCTGTATGTCAAGTTCTTTTCCCCTGCTTGGGAAGTTTTCTGCCATTACTTCTGTGGATTGTTTTTTTTTTTTTTGTCATCTGCGCTCTCTCCTGCTTCTTCATTTACTCCAGTCAGTCTTATGTTATTCTTCTTTGCATCGTCTAGCAGCTGCTGGATTGCTTTCTTGTGGTCCCTTACAATTTAAAAGCAATTTTTCTTTTCCTCATCACTAATTTCAATCTTATCTTCTAAATCTGAAATTCTGTCCTCACATTGGCTCATTCTGCTGTGTGGACTTTCAATGGAGTTTTTTACCTTCTGGAAATCTGTTTGCATCTGTTTTATGGATTCCATTTCTTTCTGATGTTGTGATTCCAGCATGTTCCTGATATCCTCCATTTTTTATCTGTGTCCTCTCTAGATTTACTAATCATGTCTTGCACTATGGGAACAATCTTTGCTGTTATCTGAGAAGTTATTTCTGATTTCATTTTTTCCAAATCCTCTTTTGTTGCCAGTTCAGGGAATCCAGATGGTTGAGTATCAGATTTTTCCTTCTCATTTCCTTTTTGGGTTGTTGTAGGTGATCTGAAAGTCTGTTTTGAGCCTTTTTTCTGTGGCTTCTTATTTCCATGGGTGGGGTGGTTGTGCTGCTGGCATCTGCAGGGCTCACCACGTCTTCCCTAAGAGTGAGAGGTGGAATAGCAGCCAGGAGGCCCCTCCAGGGTGCAGGGATTGGCTCACCTCCTCTGCCCAAGAGTGATGGGTGGAATGGCAGCAGGGAACCTCCTCCTGGTTGCTAGTATTGGCTCGCCTCTTCTGCCCTAAGGGCAAGGAGTGGAATCTTAGTTCTCTTTCTTTAGATGATGGTGAATATCTGTTGTTCAAAATCTTGCCACATCCTCACTTTACCTTAGCATTCTGTCTCAAATATTTTAGGGAAATTGCTGTTTATTTACTTTGTTTTGGTCCTTTGTTTTAGGAGGAAGATGTCTAAGCTGTTTACAGTGGGGAGAAATTCTACATAATTCTGGGGAAAAATCATTTCATAATTAAATCATCATTAGGGCTTAGTTTTCCTGCCTACAGGCCAGCTACAGCATGCCACGTCATAACACCATCTTCACCACCAGTCACACCTAAAATGTCAATGGTCCAGTGATGCTGTGATGCTCCAGGACAAGATTACACCAGCTCAAGACATCCTGCGAGGAACAAAATCTTCATCTGAATAGTTCCTCATTATTGTAGGATTTTCACTGCTGCTGCCACCATTTCTGCCCCCTGAGTGACCTTTTACATTTGATACTTTCCTGATGTACTGAACTCTGTCTGCCCTGGGTCGTCTGTTGCCTTTGTTTCTCCTGATGTACAGTATAAGGGTATGGCAAGCTCTGGGCTGTCATCTTTGCTGCCCAGAATAGCACTGATCATCCTCCAAGCTCAGGTTCTTTTCTAAGTCTCATTTTTTCAATCTTTTCTTTCTAATAAACTAATGCACCTTGTGATTTCATGCCTTGCAGAAGGCCAGGACTTACTAGAGTGGTTCTAGTAATGTTCCCTTTCCCTGGTCACTACAGGATACTCAGACATTTAGCTGATATTTGGAGAAAGGGTACAAGATATAATACTAAGAATTGAGAATTCAAATGTTACATATTTCTGTAAAAATATTATGAAACAGTGAATAACACAGTTTAAATTAATGAAATGTACATATGTAAATTATACATGATCAAGTTTCTTACAAAACTTTTCTTGAATCATGATATCCAAGAATTACCTATGACCAGTGTAATTACTATATTTCTAGATCCATGTCACAAGATTGCAGGGACAGTCACCTTGGATTTACCACTGCTCTTGAAGAATATCACTGACAAAATATAGGTGACTGATGCTTGTTGCTTATTGACCCCAAGCCAGCTGAAATCACTAAACCATAACCGATAACTTAAATGCTCTCATGAAAACCTATCATTTATATTTGCCTTTTCTTTCTGCTACCAGTACTCATGCTTTATCCATTAGATATGTGTACTTTGAGCAGTACAAGTTACATTTTAACTTTTGGTTAACTTCTCCCTAAATATAAACCTGAGTAATGATAGAAGTTAGAAAAATTTGAGAGCAATACTGGAATTTGTCAAGATGTTCATGAAATGGATCTCATCTCTGCTGCTGCTACAAATGAGTTGTTATTTCAACTCTGGAAGTTGTGGAAAAGTGCTGGTATGGCCCACGGAATACAGCCACTGGATGAATATGAAGAATATACTAGAGGAACTTATCCAGAGGAGACATGAGGTGACAGTTCTGAGACCTTCAAATTACATTTTTGTTGATGTTAATTCATCTTCTGGAATTAAATTTGAAACTTTTACTGCATCTATCAATAGAGATGAATGGGAAAAATACTTCATTCAGCTTGTCACTAGGTGGATTAATATTGGACCAATAGATTCATGTATTCCATATTTTTCAGAATTAGAAAACATGTTTAAAGAATTTTTTGATACTTGGCAACATTTATGTAAAGAAATAGTCTCAAATAAGATACTTATGAAAAAACTCCAAGAATCAAGATTTGATGTCCTTCTTTCAGATCCCATTAGTCCCTGTGGTGAGCTGGTGGCTGAGCTACTAAAAATACCATTTGTGTACACTCTCCGGTTCTCTCCTGGCTTCCAACTGGAAAAATTTGCAGGAGGCCTTACCCTTCCTCCTTCTTATGTACCTGTTGTAATGTCAAGACTAAGTGGTCAAATGACTTTCATGGAAAGGGTAAAAAACATGATATGTATGCTTTATTTTGACTTTTGGTTTGATACATTTAATGAGAAAAAGTGGAATCAGCTTTACAGTGAAGTTTTAGGTAAGTCATGCTGTTAATTAGTATACTGAAGTCTTTACTATATTGTGCCCTTTTAAGTGAGCTTGGATGAATGTAAAATAAGAGGATTTTGTCTTTTATATGTACATGATGAAGTAAAAAGTAAAATTATTTGTCAAGTGACAGATATAAAAGAAACATTTAAATTATGTGATCATATTGCAGCCATTTGCCTGTAACTCATGTAGATCATTCCAGGAAGTCACACAATTCCAGAGTGAAGCATTCAGGCTTTAATTTTGTAATTTCATGTCAAGTTCACCTTCTTTTTATTTTACAATAAAAGTCATTAGGCACCTCCCTAATATCTTTATGAATGAAGACAAGTAGATTGAAGAGTTACCCATGTTTCAAGCAAAACTATCTAGTAGCATTGAAGGAACTGTTTTCTCATGAGTAGATCAGTTTCCTTACCTGAAATAACTGTTTTTCCTTTTCTATCTAAAATATACCTTTACTCTTGGGAAATGTACAATGTTTTATCCCACAGTCACAAATTGTAAGTTTCGTATTCAAATGATTCAACATGCTCTGAAAAGTACTTGCCAATCATCCATTTTAAAGTTTTAAAATCTGTAGAAATATCGCCATCCATGTAGTGTTTTTCATTACATTTTTCCATTTGAAAAAACAATGAGCCCAATCTCTGTTTCTGTAATTTCTACAGATTTTCCAGGAAATGATTCCTAATGCTTGCAAATGATGAGTACATATTATTAAGCTGCTGATATAAACCAAAATCAAGAGTAGTACAAAAATTTGAGTCATCATCTTGTAGACCTCACACTCCACTTGGGTCAGGTACCAGCTTGTTAATTGGTAGACATGAAGGAATTTCTGAAAATCAGGTTCCAAAATTTTACTAGGATTACTTGACTCTGAAGCTGGAACATTTGTTTACATTTGGATCTATTATGTTGATAGCTTTAGAGAAACAGGAATATATACTTACTTGTATAATAATTTTTGATCTGTACTATTAATGTGAGTATACTGAAGTAATATTAGAGACATAGTGTCATTTCATTCTTCCTCAAAGACACAATTATCTACAGATAAAACACAAAAATTTTATTTTTCATATGTCAATATATTTTGGTCAATGAACAGTCAATTTATACATTATTCCTACATTATTTAAAATATGTGGTACATTCACTGTACATTTATGTAATTGCCCAGCTTTTTTCTTTTTCTCTTCCTCCATTCAGGAAAACCCACTACATTATATAAGACAATGGCAAAGGCAGAAATGTGGCTCATTCGAAGCTACTGGGATTTGGAATTCCCTCACCCCACCTTACCAAATTTTGATTTTGTTGGAGGACTCCATTGCAAACCTGCCAAACCTCTACCTAACGTAAATACAGTCCTGTATTTAGTTTTCCTTTTAAGTTTCTGTGGGAATGCTCTTCACTATTCATTGAGAGTCTTGATTAAAGTGACTAGTGTACATGGCCAGTAAGTGTAAAATAATCCTAGAAACAGCATAGTCACAGTGTCTTCTCCTCCCACATATCTTATATACTATTTCAAAAGACAGAGTATATTTAAGTAACAAAAATCCTCTGAACCATATCTTTAAAGGATTGTATTACTAAGAAAACTTTCAAATTGGATTATAGAAACCATGCCAGAAAAATTAATAACTATGATGATAATAAATGAACAAGGTCCAGGAATATGTAGGGGATGATGTGTAGAGAAAAATACAAAACAGAAAGCAGTTAGGAGAGTAGGAGCAATTCCCAAGAACTGTGAGCTTATTTACGAGGATGCTAATTTTGCTAGATAGCTAATTAGAACCAGATGACAGAGTCAAAAATATCTAATAAAAGCATTTTTGACAGCCAAAAAAATTGAGCTAAGGAAACTGATGATCTAATTTCCATTTTTTAAACAAAAAAAAATCATTGAAGATGCCATTAGTGAATTAGATTGCAGAGATGCAGAATGGTATAAATGGGAAGCATTTAGAAGGTAGTTCCAGGAGTTCAGGCAACACATGAAATGTAGACTAAGGTATGCACACATGTCAAAAACCTACTCAGATAATCACAGTAGAAGATTAAATTGACTGTTATGGGGATAAAATATAAAATAGTTAAAAGAAAGTCTTGGTAGCATTTAGTAAGTGTTTCAGAATTGATGAGGGTCTATTGGTGTCATTGCTATCTTATTATTATTTAATATTTGATAAAATAATCACATTAAATGTGAACTGAAATCCCAACAGTTTAAGATGATAACCTCATGTAAAGTCATAGTGAAAAGATCCTATTGATTTCTTTGAAAGTAAATGCATAATTTCAGGCAATAAGATGAGCAAGATCATATGAGTAAATTTTATCAGAAGAACTGAAGTTCTTTGTCAGTATTCTAGCTTACAAAAAATGAGTATTGGTCAATAGCGTACCTGTGAGGCCCCAGTGATATTTGTTACCAGCCCTAACATCTTGGCTTTCTCATAGCATTGAAACCATTCCTCACTTCAGATCCCAGAGTTTTACATCTCAGTGTACAAAGGAATGGATTACTTTCTCAAAACAGGCATTTAATGTCATATGCCAAGTCTGTAGGATACCTCAGTAAAGTTCCCTCCAGTGACATGCTCTTGGCAACTACATGACCTAGCAAAACAAGGGCAGAGAAAAGGTGCATTGCTTAGGTATTAAACACTTCATAGTTCCTGTAATTTGTCTGAAAATTGATTTGATGTGAATCACAAAATTATTCTGTCACTATATGGAGTGATATTTGTTAAGAACAAACACAATAATCATATATTTTAAATAGATATCATACTTCTAAGGAATGTATAGAAATGAGGCATTATGTATTATTTCAATATATGTGATTTTTTAAGAAGTCTTTCTTGTTTACCTTCCTATTAGCAACAATATAAAACTGAAATATGAATATGTGGCTAAAATGCAATATCCTTTTTTAAATTTTTGGTACCAGGGATTGAACTCTGGACCTTGTGCTTGTGAGGCAGGTGCAGTACCACTGAGCTAAATCCTTCTCCCCCCAGTATCCTTTTATAGATGCAATTGTTTAGACTGTACAATAACTCCAGAAGTCAAATATTTGAGGAATTATTAGTGCATTACTAAGCAATAGATCTATACATCTGAATTTCTTGATTAAAAAGCAGCAATGTTAGAAGGACCAGGAAATTGCAGAAAAGGATAATGAAAGAATTCTAAAAATGGCAAAAATTACATAACATAGCTGTTATTAAGTTGCACAAAATAGAATTTTAGAAAATTGCGTCATCTTAACAAAATTTATACCATTTGTTATAAGTTGCTCATTTGAATATATGTGAAGAAAATCAATCAAGATGCACAAATCTATCTAGTATTTATTTATTAAAAAACCTGATAAGTAACTTCAACGTCCACTTTAGGGAATGATTAAATAATGAAATATTTGTCTAATACAACATCTGAATTGTTTTACTTAAAACTTGGTAACACTAAGTTAGCCATAATATATATATATATCAGCACTATAATTGTCTCACAAAGATGTTTAATAACAATAAATCAGCCATAATAAAGGTGTGAGATGAGAAGGATAAGGAAAAGTAAATGAATAAATTCACTCTCTTTTTCTTGAGTAAACCGTAAACATAAATCAGAACCACAATTTTCTAAAGATTATCATATAATATAAATCAAATATAAAACTTTGGTTTTATAAGAAATAACTGGAACATTGACTACACAAAAATATTAACATTCCTAGTTTTATAGCTTAACCTGAAATTCTGAAGATATCACTTTGTCTTATGTGTATTTTATTAGACCCTTTTAATAATTGTTGTTAATTCTCGATTTTGTCATTTTCATTTTTGTAATTACAGTATTTTCAATAGTGTTTGCTGTGCTGTTGTTTTGTTTTTCTGATGGAGTAAATGATTTGCAGGAAATGGAAGAATTTGTGCAGAGCTCTGGAGAACATGGTGTTGTGGTGTTTTCTCTGGGGTCCATGGTCAGTAACATGACAAAAGAAAGGGCCAATATGATTGCCTCAGCCCTTGCACAGATTCCACAAAAGGTGAGCAAAGTGTCTCAATGACAAACATCTACTAAAGAAGTCATTAAGCCCTGCGAATATCTGCTTTCAAAGAATGGCTCATTTTTCCTATACGGTTGGTGAATTCACTGTATACATTAGCAATGTTTCAGAAAGAGTTAGATTTTATTTTAACAGCAGTATCACCATAACATTAAGTGAGTATTGATAGGGGTTGGAAATAAATCATGCAAGTTAAGATTTCTTTTTTAGCTCCACTTTTTAATTTATCCCAATTTTGGAATAGACTTTAGTGTGAATTTTAAGGGGATATTGAGAGCAGAAAATAGCAACTGGAGCCAATTCAAGATCCATGAATACTCTCAGCCATGTTAATAAAAAATGAGGAAGACTAGCAGGAATGGGGACAATCCATATCTGAACCAGAAAGATGTAAAACATGGAGTGGAGTTGTCTTCTTTCCTCACAATGGAACCTGTACATTGTAAAGTATGCTCCAGAAGGACTCTGCTTTTATCTCATGGGTTTAATGTCCTCCCAATCAAGAAACCAAAAGGGAAATAAGAGTCAAAGAGAAAGAGGCCTGTCTTGAGAAGATGTTCAGACACCTACTCTACAACACAAAATAGGGATTAATTTTCTAAAGTATCTAATTCATCTTCGATCTTTGAATAGTTGTGTACTACAGTAGATTTTATTTATTGTCATTACAGCAGTTTTGTAATCTTCTATGCCATCTGTTAGCTGGGGACCTGCAGTTGTTTTCAACACTCCCACAGTAAATAGAGCTGAAATATTTTAAGTGATGGTCCACTTTAAGAAAAAAGCTTGGCATTTCTAAACCCAGTACCTTATTTTCAAACAGGGTAGTAAAATGCTTAGGCTATGGCAGATCATGTGAATTTATGCTGAGATTATTTTTTGCTGCCTCTTGAAAGAGAAAAAAACTAGATGAAGAAAATTTAACCACATTAAAATATGAATTATTTTTGAAAAGCTACATATGTTATGAACTCCAAACTAACTCTAGAGTGTAAATTTAATTTATCATCCCAGCAGTGGTGAAAATACTATAGATTTTTTATCAGAATTCCAGTTGAAACTTTTCTTATAATTAAGTATTAATAATTTTAATTCAAAACAAGTAACATGTACTTCCTAAAATCAAATAAATGATTTCTGAAAAAAACTGATTGTGTAGATTCCATAATTTACACAACAAAAATGATATTTATGCATCTAATACTAGTAAGTTAATTTGTGGAAAATGATTATAAGTAAACTATAGTGATATCTTTGAAAAATAGGTCAGTATTAATACTGGAACTAGAAAGTTACTATTGTAAACATGTATGATAATGAAGATGCAATCCATTAGAAATTACTTATTCTTTGCAAATTTCTATATTTTTAAAATATTTAATATTTTTAATTATTTAAATACTTTAATAGCAATGTCTAAAATATTTTAATTCAGCATGTGGTATCTTTTTTGTCCATGTCACTGTGTGAAACATGATTACATTAAATCTGATTAAATCTAAAACTAAGTATAAAATAGGTTGGTGTTCTATTTGTCTGAGTATATTCATAGTTCTTCATATTTAATCTCCTGCCCTCAGGTTTAAAATCTACATAGCAAAGGGCACTTACCTTGTTTGTGTTTAAATTCTAAAATTCAACATATGATGCAATGCTGTTTTTACCTAACAGGTTCTTTGGAGATTTGATGGCAAGAAACCAGATATCTTAGGACCCAACACTCGTTTGTATGAGTGGCTCCCTCAGAATGACCTACTTGGTAAGATACTGGAGAAAAAATACTGCAAAAATAAATCAGTAAGAATGATGATAGCTCAAGATAGAACAAACCAAGGAACATTTGTTGTTAGAAAATCAAAACTAAAACCAAACTTCATGGTATATATTTACAGTCTTAGGGGAAGCAGAATGAAATGGAGAAGTTGATTTTTGTTGTCCATGGAAACAATATTAAGATTTCATTTTAAATCCCTTGCTCCTCAGAGAGGACATAATAATTTCCAGGGTTGTCTTACACCTGTCTTTCCACAGAAATAGGGGTTTACAAATATTAATCAAAATAACACTCGATTTATTATCAATGATGCTGTATTTCCAATGAGAAAATATTCACACGTTTATGCTGACTTAATAATTCACTCTCTTTGGTCCCAATGTTATGTCTTGCTTACTTTCACAACTTTCATATCAGAATTAGTGGAAGATCTACCCTTTTAAGAGCACAATTTCTAATACACATGTAATCCTATTACTACGTCATTTGGTATATTTTATTACATTATATGAATTGTTCCTGGCAATCATGTATTCATTGTTACAGTCATAAAGCATATCTGCTGGTAGCATTCGCTTTCCTTTGCTTTCTTGATCTGAGACACAAAAGGAATGGAGTTGCACCAGGTGTGTTGCTGCATACCTGTAATCTCAGCACTCAGGAGGCTGAGGCAGGAGGAATACTTCAAGGCTAGGATTGACTACATAATATGATCCAGGCCAGCCTGGACTACATAGTGAGACCAAGTCTCAACAAAGAAACAAAAAAGCAAAATGAAAACAAAGCAAAAAAAGTTCAAAAGCAATGTCACTTTTTATATAGATGCAAATTCTTTATCCATAAAATACCACCATTTTCAGTGATGCATATTGTACATTTCTCATTGTATTTCTAAAATTTATAACTAATTATTATGCTGATATTCACATAATCTCAGGTCATCCAAAAACCAGAGCTTTTGTCACTCATGGTGGAGCCAACGGTATTTATGAGGCAATCTACCACGGAATCCCTATGGTGGGCATTCCTTTGTTTGGGGAACAACATGATAACATTGCTCACATGATGGCTAAAGGAGTAGCTGTTAAAGTGGAATTCATAACATTATCAAGTACGGAATTGCTAAATGCACTGGAGACAGTCCTTAACAACCTTACGTGAGTACAAAGAAATGTTTTACAGTCTACATTCTACTTAGATATAAGTTCTCACATGAAGGCCAAGGAAGTAGCAGTGAGTCTGAAATGAAAATAATGAAATAAAAATTTGTTTAATGCTAAAGCCATCATTAGACACAAGGCTCATGGTCATGATAAATATTTTCAGTGTTCTTATTCGAAATAATTGTGCAAAGTTTAGGCAGAGTGTAAAATGTTAAAATAGCCTGTAAATTGAATGAGAGGAATCATTGAGGAATGCCACAGAGGAATGACAAGAAATATTAAGGAAACAATGAAACAGGAACCGTGAATGTGGCAAGGGCGTGATCCTTTCCATGTATCTATGAACTCAGAGATATTTCTAAAAGGACAACAAGTAAGAGTCGATACGATATTCAAAGAACACCATCAGTTTCATAGTTTTAATGACTGAAATATGGACAATGTCAATACTGCTTTCTGGTCAATTCTGCAATTCATAATAAATTTACTCACACATGTAGTATGAACCTTGACAAGGATATTCCTTTTCCTCCATATTGCGATACAGCTTTGAACCTTGTATAACAGGTCTATTAACAGTTTTTTACTGTATAATACTAGTTGTAAGTCTCATAAATATGCCATATGTTTTTGATAGTTTTTGTTTGTTTTACCTTTGGGAAGGAACTGATTTTAATCTCTGGATTAGAAATAGCAACGCTTCCTCAGCCTTTTTGTTCACATCTTTAAATCCTATATGTTAAAATATTCTAAATTACTAAGATTTCTAAAATGACTAATGAAAAAAATAATTTCTTTTAATCTTTTTTTTGCATTCATGTTTACCACTTCCAAAAATTCACACCCTACCATTTTGAAATAATTCTAAACTTATTTAATTTTCCTTCAGCTATAAGGAGAATGCTATGTGGTTGTCCACCATTCACCATGATCAGCCCATGAAGCCCCTGGACAGAGCAGTCTTCTGGATTGAGTTTGTCATGCACCACAAAGGGGCCAAGCACTTGCGGCCACTTGCCCAAAACCTCACCTGGTACCAGTACCACTCACTGGATGTGATTGGGTTCCTACTGTCTTGTGTGGCAACCATTACTTTCCTTGCCATAAAATGTTGCTTGTTTTGTTCTCAAAAATTTGTGAAGAAGGGAAAGAAGCAAAAGAGAGAGTAGATCTTCTTCAGGTTTAATGCATTAGAAATGAGACCATTTCATTTACATTAACTACCATGAATGAAAACATTACAAAGAGGATCCTCCATGATTTACAACACCTTTGCCTTCTTGATTTACCTATATAGTGTAATCTTGTTTAAGGAATATGTAATTCTGATTTCACAGTTCCTATAATTCTATTTTACTGTTGACTTGTACATAAATATTTTTTTAAAAAATGAGACTCATTTAAACCCCATGTGGGAAACCTTCCCAGGAGAGAATGATTAAACTGAGGGACAAATGGCACAGTCTGTATGGGAAGTGAACAGTTAAAATATGAGGCAAAAGTACCCCCAATACATACATGGATAGGCAAAAGACACACAGCTTGGGTGAGATGACATAATTTAACTGTGTGATGAAAAGGACACAGGGTCGGTGAGGAATGAATTGTTAAATTTGGCAAAATCACACAGGCTGTGTGAGAATCAGAATTGTAAACAACAAGAAGTTTAGATTTGTAAAGTATATTATGTCTGGACATGTCCTTCCCATTTCCCCAAGAAAAAGTGCTTAGCCTTGAGACAGCACCTGGCACAAACTGCTTTTCTCCTGGTTTTTGCTCTAATATTGATATTCTAAATAAAAACCAGAGAGTTCTTGGGTTAGTGGATTTGGGTGCTCACAGTGGAGAAAAAGCTCCTCTGGCCCTCTCAGCAGATTGAACAAAGTCTCATCTGCAGCTAAACATTTCATCCTCCATGCCACCCAAGGTCACATACAGCCACAACCTCAGTTTGTTGATTTGAGAAAAGCATTATTGTATCATATTTTCAGAAACATTTTTCTATTCAAATAACATGTAGTCCTCTTGACTTTCGTGTATGTCAAAGAATAGCAGAGGTAGAAATTCGATAACAGTAACGAGACATTTTCTCAGAAAACTAAAGTAGGGGAGAGAAAATTCAATATAAATACAGCTCAATTCCTACTAACACAAATATGACAATTATTTTCTTGGGCATAAAAAGAGACTCTGAGGAAGTGAAGAAGGGAAACCAAAGGGAAATACAGGCATATAGTAAAATGGAAAAATTATAGTGGAAGAAAATTTAAAAATTATGAAAAGCTCCTGCAAATGAGGTTAGACAAAGTACAGTTTGGAGTTTGGGAGAATCACATTTTCATTAGCAAAGAAGTAACAGGAAGAGTAGAATTACATGTAGGGACCTAATCCACAATTTAAGGGAGAAAAAGAGCACGGTGAATTTAGTGAATTTCATAGCAAATTGATAAGGTAAATATTTTATAATATAGGAGAGTTAACAGTGCGAATCCCTTAAGAAATAGGAAATATTTCCTATGAAGTTTGAATTTGATTCACAAAGTTTTGTTTGTCCTAGCTTCCTTCCCTGAAACATTGTAACCTGGTCTTAGCCTAGCTTATAAGGATAAAAGAAGTTTTCAACATGAAGCCCTGAATATTCTCCAGCATCTGTTTTTGTCTTAATGAATGATTTTCTATAACTAATTAGTAAGATCAGAAAAAAAAAAGAAAAATGTCACTTTAGGAATATTAGTTGAGGCACTAATTTTGTAGTTTGGTACCACTAGAATATATTAGATTTTGCTCCTTCTCCAATTGTATTTCCAATTTCTCAGTCAGATGCTTCTATCACTTCAAGACATAGCATGATGAGGGCATAAGACAACCAAAATTCATGTCACTTTCATGTTTATTTTTCTCTCCAAACACATGAAAGAAAAAAAAAACCTCAAGATGGAACAAAGGGCCAAATATTGGGTGTGGCAATTTTAAAATCCTATTTTCTAGAAAGCAACATGAATTGAAAAAATTTTTCCCTATCTTGTCTTTAAATATCTGCAGTCATCATGTGTGGATTCACAAGGTAGTATGCAAAATATCTCAAGGAATAGAAAGAAACTAATTGAAGAGTAGTTCTGCTGAAAAAGAGATATGTTTAAAAAGTTTGTGGGAAGGTAGAGGCAATTATCATTTGGACATAAGCAAATAACTTTCATAACACTCATTTTTATAAATTACACTAAATTTTATTGAAATATGTTACATTGTCAAGAAGAGGAAGTGACAGTCATATTCTTTTATTAAACGGTGGGTATCTAACAAGAAAAAACAGTAAAAAAATTATGTAGAAATGTTATTCTGAGCAATAATGATATTGTACATATACTATCTGATAGAAATTTTAATCTATTTTTTATTTCCTCATGAAACACTCTCAGAAATAAAATGATATTTTTTTGTTGAACTAAGACTTCTTGCA